CCATGTTATCGAAAATTTCCCATAATGCAACTTCAGTTGTTGCTTGAAAGATCTCTCGTCAACTGCTGTCTTCCTCAAATCAGTCATTATGTAAGGTGCAAGTGGACACACACAATTGAGCAAGAACAAATTAATGAAAGTTGACTCAATATAAATTCATCATTTCAAAAAATACCATGGTGAATATTTTATGAGGACAATTGATATTGATATGTATACCTCTGGATTCCATACACAACTACATGTGGCATATAGTATGATTTAGAGAATATATAAATCAGGGAATATAGTTCTTAAAATGTTGCAGTCTTTTTTAGAGAAAGAATGTTAAAAGTTGACAAAACCATTCTATTCTTGGTGGCTCTTATCGGGGGGTGTGTGTGAAATGTATTGTATTTGCATTGCATTGCCCTTAATTGAAGGTTTTTTTCAGATATCTCAGTTGGTTAACCATGTGATTTCCATCTATGTGCATGTCTTAATAAATCACCAAACCATATCACTGAATTACCCACTACATTGCACCTGCCTATTATTGAGAACCTATGTGTAAATATGTGAGCTTTCAATTTGATGTTAATTGTAAATAGCCCCCTCCGTAGACTGCCTCAAGTCAATTGCAGACTCCAACTCGGTAGAACATGCTTAGTTGACGTAAAACCAATTTTCAATGAAATTTTTCTCTAATTCACATATATTCCCCAGCTTTTTTGTAATTTAAAAACAAGTAACAATAAAAATGTTGCCATTTCCCCCATAATGCATTGCCCAGAAAGTTTGTTTTATTCTTTATTATTTTAAATTATTATAAAGTGTGCTTTTATTTAGATTTTCTGGAATTTTGACAAAAACCTTTAGAAAAAGGTATGACACCTGTATTTATAACTGATGTTTATGAAGATTGTGACAAGAAGCATAAATAATTTGTTCTGAGCTTAACTTTGTTTTCATCTCACAATTTTATCTTCTACCTCCCAATATTAGTTTACAGTTGAAGAGTGACATTTTTTCCTGATTCTCTTCAGTTAAATATGTTTTGCACAATATTCTTCATAAACTACATGTAGATAGTACTGCCCTACAGTGTGGAAGGTTACGTTATGATGTTGAGTGGTGAAAGGGTTAACATTGATATTTTGTACATATTAAAACTGGCAATGGTTTACACGACTATAAAATACTTTATTTTAATTTCACTGAATAGGCTTTTTGGGTGTTTTGTATGGAATCTATTTTCACTGATTTTTGATGAGTTGAATGTAAAATAGGTCTGGATTTTATTTTTATTTTCACTTTCACTGAATTCTTCTTTCAACAAAAATTGCGAAAATCAATTCCAAGCAAAAATAATTTAAAAGTATTCTACAGTATTCCATTATGCTTTTTTATACTATATTATAAATTGATCAGTTTTGTGATATTAGTTTGTGGGATTCTGTGCAAGGTTTTGATTGTCACACACTGTTCCAAAGACCCCAGTGAAGTCAGAATTACATGGTTTACCAGACTCGCAAAAAAATAAAGTACTAGTAGTTTACAGTAAAACGATCTAAAAAAGCATGGAATTGTTCAAATTGTGATAGAAGTATGAAATTTGGTACAGGTGATCTGTTTGATATGGAGATTCATATTCCATTGAGACCCACTGCAGATCTGGCCTGTGAAGACTGATTTTTTGTGTAAATATTACATTTTGGTCAAAAATTATAACAAATATAGTATTTAGAAATGTTTAAATTATAATACACTCGTGAAATTTAGTACATATACACATTTGGATGTGACAATTCATATGAAATTTGAACTATCATTGAGCTCACCTTTAACAGCTATCTTTTGGGGCAAAAACATCAAATTTTGGTTCAAAAATATGAAAATAACAAATAATTTACAAATGTTTGAATTGTTTAGAACCATACAATATGGTACAGGTATGCACTTTAATATGTAGATTCATATTTCATTGAGATCAATAGCGGACATTGTTTGTGATGACTGATTTTTGGTTTTAAAAAATAACATTTTAGTCAAAAACCACAAATACCAGATTTATAACTGCCCCAAGTATTATAGAAGCATGAAATTCGGTACATACATGCATTTTGATGTGGCAGTGCATATGACACTTAAACCTGCATTTGACTCTCCTCTGAAAAGTGGGTTTTGGGGTAAAATGTGGAGAATAACAAATTAAATGTGTTTTTTTTATAATTGTTCAAGTGTTATAAATTTCATTTGTAAACTTCATCTGTAAATGCAGATTTGTATAAAAATGCGACCCAGAGTGCAAATGAGAGTTCCGCGAAAAAATCACTTTGAAAGACATTGAAAAATAACCTGAATATAATAAGTATAAACACCTAGAAATTCACTAACGTTTTTTTGACACAAAGCATGTTGGACAACAACATACTACATACTACATGCATATATGGTGAATAATAATAAATATAAACATATTTAAATGAAAACGCAATCCTGGTTGTTGATGCCATGCAACAAGAGCATTCATATCAGTTCTACAGTTGATTGAGTCATCTTAGCTTGACACTATTTAATATTAGTTGTTGCCAGAAGAAACTGCGCATGCGCTTAGTTGCTCTGGGAAACAGGTTTGCGTTGTAGTCTCCGTGTTATCAGATGGATCAGGAAAACCCAGTAAAACAAGAACTTTAATCCAGAATATTCCATGTACGTGTATATTGTACCATAACAAATAATTTGGTTTACAAGTTTTATAGTTTATACTAACATTCTGGTAGAATTTGCACAATAGTTATGCAATCATTTTACTTGTAGGTGAAGATACATTTTAAGTTAGATATCACTACATGACTGGAGAGTAAAATGGAACTCGAATCCTGTCCAAGTACAAGTAGCCAGCGAAATAGTCAAGACCCGAGGGGGCTACTTCCACATTAAGTGGGTAGGGGTGTGCAGCCCACCTCTTGTCAGCCTTTTCCGGTATTTGGCTTTGAATATAAGGACCTGTGTAAAAGTAAATAAATGCTACACACTTCTAAACCAAAACATTGATAAATAACCACCCACTTCTAAACAAAATAACGTGAAATGACACCCCAGTCGGGCGGCACATACCCGTATTGCACTTCTATGCAAGTAGCTCCCCGGGAGTCAAGATAGAACCATCCAGTGGCATGTATGTGTCTTGTGCCAAAAACAGTCAGATGAAAAGTTAATTTGTCAGTCTAACCGCAAAAATAAGCAAGGTTCAGGATATCATACACTGTCTGAGAATTTGTCTGGTTTTCATAAGCTAGGAAATGTACCTATAAACATTAATATAGGTAAACTTGATGAAGGTCAAGGAATTGAGGCTACCTTGAGAAGAAATGATGCAAAATGGCACAAGTCATGCTACAATAATTGTAGCACCCTCAAGCTCCAAAGTGCACAAAAACGAAAGTGTTTTAGCACATGCAAACCAGCCGTGCCAGTATGGGATCATGGGTTTCTAGTGGAAATAGGAAAACAGTGTGTTTTTTCTGTGATGAACCTGGAGGATCCATACATTGAGCATGTACTCTTGACTTGGACCACAAGGTAAAATAGTGTGCCACAGAACTAGGAGACAGACAATTATTGGCTAAATTAGCTGCTGGTGACATGCATGCATTAGATGCCAACTACCATTTGAAATGTCTGATGGCTTTGTACAACCGAGCTAGGCGCACTTGCAAGCAAGCCAAGTCAAGTGCAATACAAACGTTAATGGAAAGTATTGCTTTAGCTGAGATAGCGTCATACAATGAAGAATCTAGGAATGATGGGGAAGACACCACTTGCATATTGTCAGACATGGTGAAACTTCGAGATTGAAACAGAATGGGGCTTATGTTCCTAATGGAGTTAACTCTTCAAGACTGAAGGAGCAACTGCTTTCTCAAATCCCCGATCTCAGAGCATATAATGAAGGTAGAGAAGTCATGCTTGTCAGATCTGACACAGAAGCCATGTATCTATCAAAGGCTGCTACTATTGTGAGGAGGGAGATACTCAAGAAACAGAAATGCTTTGATGGTTCATTTGACCCTGAATGTCAACATAATGCAGTATCTGACACATTACTTGCTCTTATAAATATGATACTGAAAAGACCTGCCATACACAATCAGATAGACCACGAGAAAGTTGATGCGGCTTTAACATTGTCTCAACTAAATCATGTTCAATGCTGTTAATGGAGTGAGATATCTTAGTACACAGGCTAGGCATCCTGCTGACAAAGAAACTCCTCTAGCTGCATATATCTTGTATTAATGGTTCATGCTGAAACTCGAAAGAGAACTCTCGTGAATAAGCTTCGTAGACTAGGACTATCAATTTCTTATGACAGAGTTCTTCAGATATCAGCTGACATGGGCAATAGTTTATGCGCCTTGTATGAAACTGAAGGAGTGGTATGTCCACCAAAACTAAAAAAGCAGATATTCACCACTGGAGCAAGAGATAAAATTGATCATAATCCTAGTTCACGCACATCCAAGGACTCATTTCACGGGCAAGCCATCTCCCTAACCCAGCATCAAAGCCAAACATTACAGCGAATAGACAGGCAACTTGTTGTCATCAACCCTGATTTAACAAAACATGAAGTGTCGCAGCTTCCAGGATCATATAATGATGTACAACCCGTCTTTCTTGCAAAGGGGAACCAGTATGACCCTATGATTTTGGTCCAGTAAAACCCCAAACTCTTCCACAGAACTGCACATTCGCCAGCAATGATGCTGCACTCAATGAAAGTCATAAAAAACTCAGTGGAATACCTCAACCCTGGACAGACTCCTGTTGTGGTCATGGATCAACCACTGTTTGCCACTGGACTCTTTTCGCAACCAGATTTTCTCGGCCAAATTTGTCTGCGCTACATTGCAATACATTTTCCGGTACATGGTTAATCAAAAATACTGATTTTAGCGACCATTCCTGACCATAAATAGAGTTTATCCAGTGAGTGCCACGGTAATTGGGATTACAAAATTCATTAAAATGCTTGATGTTATTAAATAGAATATTTCATTTATGGTTTAAATCTTGGTGTATAAATATCCATAAACCTGGAAATGTTTTATTCATTTTTTGCTGAGTAATCGAAAGCATACATTATGTTTTGAAATCAAGTGTGTGTGTGGGTAAATACACCTATAAACATGACTGGGATGCTGCTCAAATCGCATAGTCAGGCAGAAACAAGATAAACTGAGTGTTTGGACATAGATGGCGCTATGCTACTCACCTGTATTGGCAATTTGTCTCGTGTCACCAACTAGCCTATCAGAGTTGGTTCAAATATTATGGTGGTTGTTAGCCACTTTATGGTGGTTGTTAGGTTTTCTTTTGCCGATTTTATTGAGAAACTCTCAATTAAACACTTCCAAAATGACTGCGTGTCTGAGAATATTAAAGGTAGAAAGACTGACAAATGCTGTATGATTTGTTTACATCCATTTTGTAGGAGTTTGAGTTGGCTATTATGTGTTTTACTGGCCAGAATTATATTACATACATATGGTTTCAACAAAATAAAACAATACTTTATTCTTTGTAACTCTTGTTTTTGGCAGAAATTTACCCAAACGCTAACATTGTCGCCCATAGAGTTCTAGTTTGTGATATGAGACCTTAGTAGCAGAATTCAAGTTGGCTGCTATGAAATTTACTGAAAACGCAAAAAAGACATAAAACTTTAACCAGTCAAGATTAACTATCGAATACCCATACTCTCGCTCAAATCGACAATATCGATCATCACCAACACGACAAATACGGACTTCTTATAACGAACGAATGTGTAATCCTTTGGGTCGTATCTGGTATCTCTACGTGTAAGTGTTATCAGCTAATTGAGTCACAGTTCTCGGACACAACGCTAGTGTTCACTATAGTGGGGCGGGCTTGGGAGTGCGTAGTTAGTTCTGAGATGCAGTTATGTATTTCCGCTGCATTTAATGCAATTAAATATAATTTAGTCTGGCATGATCTTTATGCCAACGTCTATTTCACAAAAAGCTCTTCGTGGATGCGACATATTTACAACATATATTTGCATATGGATGACTGTAACACTGACACCCTGATATGAATGGTCCTCGGGGTTACAAAATCTAAGACAGTACAGTTCTAAGATAGTACAGTTTTGGAAAGGATTGGCTAGAAGGTATAGCTTAGTAATATATTAATTTAGTATACTCGATATTATGGGGGGTTACTTGAATACAAAAAGGTGAGAAGTTGTAATTAGAACAACTTAATAAAAAGCTGTTGCAAGTAAAATGTACAAGAACTCATAGAATGGCGTCCAGGTACACGCATTTACCGTTAAAATTGCATGAAAATTTGTCATTTTCTAAGCATTTCATCCTGTGTCATGACAACCGGGTCAAATCTTATCCAAAATGTGATCTACTGGTCCTCATGTCTAGGACACCCACTAATAAAACGTTTACGAAAGGTAGTTTTTGTATAGTTTTCCTGCTCATGAAGATCCGAAACAAAATATACCGTGATAGTGTTTAGAACATAGTGAGTATCTCATCGAATATGATTCGGCAGATTTGTTCATTAAAGTCAGAAAACTATTTCTGAAAAAAACAACACATTATTAATTGTTTCATTTGGGTGTTACGCCAAGTGTTCAAATTCTGTTAATAGGATAAAGTTTTCACTTGATTAATATATTTCCATTAAATCATAAATGTTGCATCGGTATACACTTGAATATCACTTGAATGATAAATGTCAAGTTTATATATTCTGATTCAACCATTCTTTCAAGATAACGACGTACTATGATATGGTAGCGTCACTTCATGACAATACTAGCTTTTGATAAATCACTTTAATCCGGTATATTTCACGGTGAAACGACACTTTGGCAAAATTTGCAGGAACACAAAATTTAACAGTATTTGGTATATCGTTAGAATGTATTCTGCAAAAGATAATCTCCATAATCTATTCAATTTGAGTTTGTGTTAAATTCACTGAAAGCGAGTGGGGACAAATTATCCAAAACGAATTCAACCCCATCCCACCATATCTGCCATCTATCGCCACCAAGCACAGCGTTCGATAAGCCTCAATAAAAAGCAGGAGACGTTATTTATGTATGGTAATCAAACCTCATTTATTTATAGGTATGAATATAAATGTCTTGTACTACAACGTTACGCGGGAATGTCAAGTACACGCTATTGTTATTGTGGAGCTCTTGCGCCCCAGCGATCAAATAAAGAAAAATAATCAGTATGGCATTGAGGGCGGTGTGTCTAGTACTGTATTATAATAATATAATCAAAACAAATATTTATATTTAAATTGCAAACAAACATCCCATTATGGTACATTAATATAGAGATTTATTTATTAAAGGGTGAGATATGTTTCAATTGTTTTGTCAAGTACATTTTCAGGAAATGAATTTCTACTCAAAGAAAATACATGTGGTAGAAAACTTTCTTTGTAGTATCAGGAAATATAAGTTGAAATAAAATGTTCGTCTCTCTCTGCAAACATGAATCTAAGCTGATATTAATGTCATGAGTCTTCTACAACATACGGATTAGTTGCTGAGCTGATAACTTCAATTGCAGACGTTGTATGTTCCCCACGTTTTCCAATTAACCAATAAGTACGCATATTTCCTTTACCCTGTTGAAAGAAAATATATTCATTTTCAAATTAGTAAAAAGTCTTTTTTTATAAGTCGAAGGTAGCAATCTATTATGCTGCTTTTACTTAAGCCGTTTTTCCGAAAACAAGTGTCTCTTCCTTTTACGAAAACTAGCTATATATCATATTATGCGTCGTTTATTTAGTTCGTTTTCCAAGCATAAAACAGAAATGTGGCTAATTTTCGATATTGTCTATAGTTTATATTCACAGTCTGGGGCTTTACTATTCATATTCACAGTCTGGGGCTTTACTATTCATATTCACAGTCTGGGGCTTTACTATTCATATTCACAGTCTGGGGCTTTACTATTCATATTCACAGTCTGGGGCTTTACTATTCATATTCACAGTCTGGGGCTTTACTATTCATATTCACAGTCTGGGGCTTTACTATTCATATTCACAGTCTGGGGCTTTACTATTCATATTCACAGTCTGGGGCTTTACTATTCATATTCACAGTCTGGGGATTTACTATTCATATTCACAGTCTGGGGCTTTACTATTCATATTCACAGTCTGGGGCTTTACTATTCATATTCACAGTCTGGGGCTTTACTATTCATATTCACAGTCTGGGGCTTTACTATTCATATTCACAGTCTGGGGCTTTACTATTCATATTCACAGTCTGGGGCTTTACTATTCATATTCACAGTCTGGGGCTTTACTATTCATATTCACAGTCTGGGGCTTTACTATTCATATTCACAGTCTGGGGCTTTACTATTCATATTCACAGTCTGGGGCTTTACTATTCATATTCACAGTCTGGGGCTTTACTATTCATATTCACAGTCTGGGGCTTTACTATTCATATTCACAGTCTGGGGCTTTACTATTCATATTCACAGTCTGGGGCTTTACTATTCATATTCACAGTCTGGGGCTTTACTATTCATATTCACAGTCTGGGGCTTTACTATTCATATTCACAGTCTGGGGCTTTACTATTCATATTCACAGTCTGGGGCTTTACTATTCATATTCATAACTTAAAGAAGCATAATTCATGGCAACAGTGCCCGACGGCGTATAATGATTTATTCAATAATTACTTTCAATTAAAATCAATCTAATGTATTCATGACATCGATACACTGGTATTATATAAAATTATATAACATATTTAACATAATAATAACAGAAAGTATTATACTTTTTTGGAATTATCTATATATAAGATCAAAGGTCGGGAATCCGATTGAGCAATATATAAAGACGAAAAGCTCGCAAATCAAATGAAGCAACTTATTATTATATGGTTGATTACCGTTTTTTGCAGATTGTGAACTTAATTTGAATGATTTAGAGATTTAGAGAATATCAAACATGCGTAATTAGGGATTAATATTCAGGATGGCAACCCCAAAAACTCATATTATATGGTATGATAAAATTGCTAGTGAAATGTGTACGTTAATTTATAATTACGTATGTCCGTCTGCTCGGGCGTTTATGTGTCGCAACATCATTTCTCTAACATGTTGCTTTTTCTGGGACTAAAATGGTTCACATTTGACAACAAATCAAAGAAAGAACTCCCGTGTGCGGAGTATTTGAGACATATAAAAAATAATTAAACATTTAAGATTTGCTTTTCAAACAAGAAGCTTGGCAACTAATATTTTTCTGCTATTTGAGATGCATAATATGAAAACAATGTGAACCACATTAACATAATGTATGATACTTACAAAGAATACATTTGGTTTTACACCTGATGTCTTGCCTTTGTGCGAAATTTGTGATTCAGAAGTAATGGTACTGCCACTATTGAGATTTGGGGGAATTGAAGACTCCTTATATTCCGTTACAAGTAATCTTCGATTCGATCGTCATATCCGCGAAGGCACAAAAGCTGATAGCACTGGTGGTCACTAGCTAAATATATTGACTGGCGAATTTGTAAAATGATTGACTGATAAAAAATGACATAATACCTTTACTTCTAGTACTCCTCTTTCTTCGAGCATAAATCCACCAAACGTATCAAGTAATTCTTTACTGTCTTCACTGATATGTATTTGCAGAGCTAGCAATGTGAACACAAAATTTACATTAATAACAAAAACAGAATACACCATAAACTATATTGGTGCCGGGAATTGTATTGTATTGCCATGAATATATACAACATGATCTTCCTTGTTTCTTTCACTTTTCTGCTAATGATTGCAGAGTATAATTTATTTTCTACTCTGGTAAAGCCACATTGTGATTTGAATGTTTAAATAGTATATTATTCAACATTCATACTAATCATCGGGTGTATGGGAATTACTGATTAATTCATGTTATCTCAAAAGCTTCTATGAAATATTAATCCACGTATAGAGTAATGCTCGGTATAAAAATTGAAGTGAAGAATACTCTAATTGTTAATAATAGTTTTGATACGGGAGATTGTGGTACACAATGGCTGTTCGGAAATTCGCGATTGATTGATTGACTTTATTTATTTTTCCGATCCCAGAAACGGTTTAGCTTTAGGTGGGCCGCGGATAAACTCATCGAACGGGGTTGTTGTTATCACAATGAAGCAGGTCAACTGTATGCGTAAATTCAATCAGATTTGTGTTCTATGTTATGACATGTTATGTCAAATCGACTTTTTATTAGATTGCTAATCCGATTTCATCGTTTAATTTCTTTTATAAATGCCGTGTCATTCATAATAAACCAGACAGATACACATTTGAAATAGGCATCATTCCAGATAATTGCATCGCGTAGTTTACAGGTTCTAAAGCAGAACTATATTACCGGTATACAATTCAACGAAATAGTACGACCCATAGTGATAGGAGCAAAATAGTGGTAATAGTGGTAATAGTGTATTAGCGGTATTAATCCCTGACAAGTATATATGGTGTAACAAGACGTTTTACGCAAATGTCATTTGTTCTGGATAGAAGTGTATGCACCATCGGCCTCGCCTATACTTGCTTAGTAATACATAACGAACTTTTAAATTCAATGGCCTGCAAGTTCGATGCATTTTTTGAACCATGATTTATTCTTGTTTAGCAAATCGATATTTAATTTATCTGCGGTCTCCAACCTGGGATTAAGCTGATGATTTTGGGGCAATGCATTATCGGTCGCCATGGTTACACGTCACAGTTTATTATTTAAGCATGATTGGCATTTATCATATGATACTTCGTTTTGTCCGCTCTCGAACAATATAACCAGATTTGCGAGCCAAGCAATAATTTACCTTACCATATCATATACCTGGCCCTGTTTGAGGGCCATATTTAAACAAACGTACAATTTGTATCCAACGCGCGTACACGCCAACTAACGGTACATGGTGTCACTGGGGGTTTCTCAGTACAAAATGTCGGCGTCATATTATTTGATTCACATTTGTAAAACATCAGTCACATTACATGCTCACTAGGTTTCAGTGACAGAAATATATACTCAGAGTTCAAGGTCGCTATACTGGATCAGATTTATTGAACCAAACTGCATCCGATTTTGTTGGTGGTATAATGATGTTTACAAGACCTGATTTGTCTGATTTAATTGAGCATGTCTAATTGCGATTTAAATAATCAAATGTATAACAGACTATTCTAATTGTCGTACACTACGGCCTTTTAACATCAAGTTTTATCGCAAGACTACGTCGTTTCGCGGAGTCTCGAAGCGGAAATAATAAGCTCTGGCGACGAAGGTGAAATCGACATACTACTACGAGAGTAGCGAACAAATGTTCGACGGGTCAGCGCGTTTTGTTAAGTGTGCACTCAAATATCAATGACCCACACGATATACAGTACACGTGTGAATAAACGGCAACTGAAATAAATGAAACAGTATATGTAGTTCTAAACAACTCTACATCATTCTTTTAGCAATAAAGTATTGTTGCTATCGTATATGATAAAAAAATAGTGTACACTGCTTTTCACGACCCTCGGCCTTGTGGCTATGCGCACCCTTGCCAGGTATGATGCTTCGCCGTACGACCTCGGGTTGCAAATGCCGTATTACTCATTCCATACAGATCAGTGTTCTACCACCACATATACATTACGTACGTCTGCCTGTTGACTCCATGCGCGAGGCTGTGTTAACCGTGTCACCGAACAGACAATATCTAGGCATCTTCGCTCCAACTACGCCAGCTACACACGAGCCTGTAAGTAAAGAAACACGATGTAGTTTATGTGTAGTCATGGTTACGTAATTTATCCGAACATATAATTACCTATTTTACCACCGTCAAATATTTTTTGTATTGTTACCAACATTGTTGTGAATTTTGAAATTCATTTATATTTTAGAATATTAATATTATTAAAATTAGAATTTTCAAAATAAAAACGATCTTCATTATAAATGTTTTTTATGAAGTGCCTCATATTCCAATGTTTGTTCACAGTCTAGGGACTGTGGGTTGTTTCTAAATGTAAGCCGTATCACCATATATTTCTAGCTATTTTCGATAATATTTTACACAGAATTGAATTCCTCGCTTTTTTCATGATTAATACATTGCGGAGCTTAGGATCTGCGATTCGCTGGCTCCCGGCGTCCATCATTGTGAACGTCATGTCCCCTGTGAATGCCATGTGGGCGTAGCTTATTCATTATCAAGGCAACGCCTTGGGGTGGTTCATGTGACTAGTGACGTAATTTAAAGATATCCATTCAGCGTGCCTGCTTAGACGTGATACTTACAATGGTTTCTAGTAATGTTTATGAAATAATAACGTTTGAGAGTGTAAACCCCACCTTCATATATAGCGCGCCCTCTGACGACGGGTAACGAAGGAACATATATAGAACCCCCGGGGGGGTCACTCTATATGCTGTTACTACCCCATGTGCGTTCCAAATTTAGCGGGAAGGGATGCTGTTTTTCACTTTCTAAAGCGGGCCCGCGCGGGAAGCAAATTGGCACCCTTTAAAATGCTAATGTCTGCAATTGGCCCCCAGAAATAAACTCACAGGGTTGCTGCGCCAGCTGTAGTCCCCTCTTGCAATAACCACTCCCATACACGGCCCTAGGCCCCGAATTGGCGGACCCATAGCCCCGACCATGCCGCAAACGTCCGCCTGAACTTTCCCACCGAGACTTTCCTGTCACTTCCAACACAAACATACGGAGGAGGCTTATTGTAATCGAAGAAACGAAACGAAACGAAACAGGATAACACACATAATAAAAATTAAACTGTATTCAGTGAATATGGGTTGTATATGCACAATATTTACAAAATATTTGCCGAAAATAGTATTTAATACGTATATGGCTCGTTTCGCTAATTACAGATAATCACAAATCGAAACAAGGTTCTTACACGTACAATATGTATTGTATTGTATTTATTTATTTACCCTTTTACATCAGGAGCTCACTAATTAGGAGCTGCAATAAAATTATTGGAAAAAGCACATACTAAATAAATGAAAAAAGAAGCAGAAAGAAAATACAAAATTAAAGAAAATACAAAATAATCTTAATTACAGGTACTTGACCTTTCAGTCGTGTATAAAACTTCATAAAACAATTATCTATAATTAGCGAAACTAAACATTCACTAATTAAAATCCCGTTAGTTTCGGCAAATGTTTTATGGTGTCATATACACGACTGAAAGGTAAATATACTGGTCAAGTTTTGACCGAAAATTGTGAATATTGTACGTGTCAGACCCTTGTTTCGCTGATTACAGATTTTCAATTATCTGTAATTAGCGAAACGAGCCATTTACTGATTATATTGTTATTTTCGGCAAATGTTTTATGTTGTTATATATACACTACTGAAAGGTGAATATACTGGTCAAGTTTCAACCGATGGCTGTTAATATTGTACGTGTATTCGCTGATTACAGATTTTTGATTATCTGTAATTAGCGAAACGAGCCATATACGTATTAAATATTATTATTTTCGGCAAATATTTTGTAAATATTGTGCGTATAAAACCCATTTTCCCTGATTACAGTTTAATTTTCATTATGTGTGTTATCTTGTTTCGTTTCGTTCGTCGATTACAATAAGCCGCATACAGAAAGTCATCCGCCGGAGTCATCCACACTTCCAAAACTCCTTTCGCGCCTCGGCCTCATTCGTATTCAGCTCCTGCTTTTTTCTGGGTTTTCTGCCCTGTATTCATGCCAAAGTCACTCGGAGCTGAACATAAAATTGCGTAATGGTATATGATGGAATAAGAATCATGGCAAAGTTGTGTGCATTGTGTATTAAACTATAAAATAAATGATCATATTCACAATCATGTCAATAGTTCTGATCTTTCTTCATCAAACAACGAATGACACCAACAGGAGTTGCATACATAGTAACTTGTTTGAGTTGATCACACTCCACTTGAGTGTAAAAACGGCAGCGAATGCTCGCAATAGGAGTAGGATGTTCTCAAAACATGTCTGTAATAGGGTGTGTGTTTTTTTCTTCAATATGTTAGCTCTAGGGGGTACTAAATTTACATTGCGTCCGCAATAGGGGGTATGGTTTGCCAATGTGCTGCCAGCCCTAGGGGCCTATTATCTTTAGCAAGAACGCACATGGTGTAAGGTTTTAATATAGAGTATAGAACACAAAATGAGAACGTGATTAACCAATGGCAATGCTGCTACTGTAATATCCATGTATTGGGACGACCCCTTATTTACCTGAATGTACTCCAATTCGTAGGAGGAGTCTTTCCTCCGGCAGATGAGGTACACTGAAGTCTTGAATAGAGATAAGCAAGTCTATCGCCAATATTGCAATTTCCGGTGCGTGTTTGATACCGTTTCGATGTGGCAGGCCGCTGACTACCATGTACGCATCACCTATCGTCTCTACTTTATATACGTCATACATATCAATCCGCTTGTCAAATGATGTGTACAGATTGTTGAGTAAGTCGACCACCTACACAAACAAATTTACAGAGTTTAAAGTCTGATCAAAATTAATAAAGCAAACAAACGGCAAACAAACATACTATTACATATTAAACAATTATAATGTAGTGCTAATGTTAATAGTAAAAGTTATTGGGTTAATCACGGTTAGTAACCGTGGGTTAATTGAATGAGTTTAACCGCCATATCGAGCGAACTCGAGTAGGAAATGCCACAGTGTTGCAACGTATCTAATAATATTCGCAGTTTATATATTGAGAAAAAGACCTTGAATAATATTATGAGGTAATGTCCATGTTGCAGGTCAGTCCATGTGTATAGTGCCCTTACAAGTACAGTCTGGTATAACTTACACGTGGCAATTGCGGGAATATCGCAAATGTGTAATTAGCATAAGTTACCATCCAACGATCTAACATTACTGTTTAAAATTCCCATTTTAGGTCATAATGTGGGTATCCAACTAATTTCAACTGTATCGCAAACGATAATTTCCGCATCCCGAACTTTCCGCATTGCAAAGTGTTTTTTTTAATGTTATTCGTTACTGTTACAACATACAACAAGCCTAGTCAAAAAACACCCGAGGCATTGGCACGCAAACGATAAATGACAAAAAACACGAACAGTACAAAATATCATAACCTAAAAAACAACAACTAGTAAATAAGTTAAACAATTTTTTTTTAAGCAAAGAGGGTATCCATAAGACAAAGAATTGTCAACAAAGCTCACGCACACGTGTTAAAAACAAGTATTTACTTATATTATTACTGGGGAATTCCCGATTTAATATAGACATTATTTCTGAGAACGCGCCTAAAACACGAAAAGAATGCGATGAGTCGTATATTTTATTATTATATTTGAATAAAAATATTAGGTCTAGAACATGCATACGAGATTCAAGTGTAGCAACATTATTTGATAAATTCAATTAGTGCCCGTACAAGTTTAACTATTTAGTATTTTTATGACGATGTCCAGACATGAAAGCAGTATTCAATGTTACTGCGCATAATAGAAATGTACAGTGACTTTAAAACTCTTAATATCACCAATAAGAGAACATGCACGCCCAAGGAGACCTTGTAGTTTAAACACTTTGGTAATAATAACACTAATGTGCATATCGAAATTGAGATTCTGGGATACACAGGTCTTCACAGGACAGAGTTCTGTCATTGGGCGAACCATTAAAGAAGTAATTTTTAACAATTAAAAATTCTTAAGAATAATATTTATTACATTACATTTGTTCATATTGAGTTTCAGTTTCTTTCGCCAACGAACACTGTGATATGGTCGAATGCGTAGTCAGTCTTACTAATTATGATTGAATAATTAAGAATCGTCCATATAAAGTGAGATATTTGCCTACTTAACACATATAATAATGTCATTGAAAAAAACCTTGTGGTATTTCAGATGTTACTCTACCCCTTGCTGATTCGTGGTCACGTATAGCGATTCTTTGCTGGCGGTCAAAGAGGTACGAACACAACTAACTGACGTTACTGGTAGACACAAATGCATTGTGTACACCCAGTTTTGGTTATAGTTCAAGGTAAATCACAGTACGCTTATAAAATTAAGAGTATTTGCTTCGTGTTACATTTCATAGTAACACATTTCACATTTATCACTATGCGAAATTAGTTTTGCCTCAATTTACTAGTCTCGTAAAACGGAGCATAAACATAAAAATCACTGGGGATTAATCATCAATGGACTATCATCTGATCAGCTGTCAACCTTTTAATGTCTTAAGGATGAGTTACATCCTTTAAACAATGCTATTTAAAAAGCCTATAGATAATGAAGATGACATTTAAGGCATGTATACACCTGTGCATCAATTGTGTAGGCAATACTGTAAAACATGTCTTTTTAGCTAGCATGTATTTTAGCTAATTTAGCTAATCTGTAATTCAACAGAGTTTAACAGAAATTATATTCTTACAGGGAGATAGTCGACACTAAATTACGATTCTGGTAATTCATGCCAAGAGTCAAATCCGCTAAAATTGCATGCAGCTATTTCAACGTGTTCTACAGTATTTAACAAAGTTATCAACGCACACAAATATTATATACATACATTTTTGTATTACAGCATATCAAGAATGTTATTTTTTCTCCAAAAAATCATTATGAATTTTGTCTGAAAAACTTTAAAAAATAACTTGATGTTAACATTTGTATCTGTTTTTGAGCTAACTGATGTTATTCAACATTTTCGAAGATCAAAACCAGGCAAGGATAAGTTTGTATTGTTCGTCATTTCTATTCTGTTTAGGTTGTCAAATAAAAATACAAAAAGTCAGTCTGAATAGATATACCATATGGTAATCGCTAGACCATTTTAATACTCTTTCTCTTGACCACCAATTGTCATAATCACCACGTTTGCCAAATATTATAATTCTATAATTATAGTTAACGAAGCTTATTTATTTATTTATTTATTTATTTATTTATTTATTTATTTATTTATTTATTTATTTATTTATTTATTTATTTATTTATTTATTTATTTATTTATTTATTTATTTATTTATTTATTTATTTATTTATTTATTTATTTATTTATTTATTTATTGTGTTCAATATTTGCACGATTTCCATTGGGCGCACGCTACTACAATAAGATAATTGTAATTTGCATGGGGGTGACTAATACACAGGTCAAGGATAAAACAGATTTTCGTTCGTGATAACAAAATAAATAGTACATCGTAAACTCTTAGTTTCGATTGTCAAATTAAGCGTGCGAAGTTGTTATTTCCAGTTCATACTGAATAATCAATTAAAACACAATTTAATTTGATGCGATCAAAGTGAAAGAATTGTATGGCTTAATGACGTCATTCATGCATACGGTCATTTGTTTACGAATTGTTAAAAGGAAGTTGCGAATAAATCTGTCATTAACCAATTTGCTAAATCTTCCCCTCCGACAATGCAAATATTTTTTTTTGTAATGATCTCAAAGTAGTGCTTTCCATACTAGTAGCGCTAACATGCTAGTATTATTTACTACGAATTTCTTGAATTAGAAAATTATCGGAAAACCAAACAGAGAGGTAGTAACACGCCAATGTGAAGTTTATGTTTCCGTGAAATTGTACTTTATTATAGACGGTATAGTTATCTATTTCAACGCAGACCACTAAACGCAATTTTTTATTTGGCTGAGATCTGAACGATTTTTCCTTTGTTCATAGAGGGTGGACATATAGACTAAAACTTCGTATTTATGTGCTCTTTTATAAATATTTATTTTTTTCAAAATCAAACAAAACACATTTTAGCATTTGCCTTATGTACTGTCATGTATATTTTGGTTTAAAATGTTGTTGTTTTTATAAAGAAATTATGTTTTTTACTTTCATATCAAATTCACACGTTTATGTTACATCGTGGTACATTTTGTAAGTACTGAATTATCATTATTCGTTTTTGCACATAACTAGAAGAAGTTCAAGTAGGTGTGACTGATGATTAGCCTCCATGTTTGCCAATTACAAACACCTAATGATAGAATATAAACAATTGCCGTTTTCAGAGGAAGAAATCGTGAAATCGACCAAAAATACTGTCAAACTGAAATATCAACAGAAATGTTTATCTTCCATTCATGTTAACGTTTCACATTATTTATTTATCATTAACCTAACTAATTGTATGTGTGTTACAACAAGAGATAGCCTTGTTGAAAGTACAGATTCACAAAAAATGCCGTTTTATTTATTTTTGATTCTGAACAACCTCGGTTCGGTGAAATCCAAATAGCGACCCGGTTGGTAATACTACGATCATGCTGCTTGGTTGTTGAGAATATTAGCTCCCAAGTCGTATTTTGATTTTGTATTAGCCTTTGTATTCATGTAAATCATTTACTGCTTCTGTTTATTGTTAGAGTCATGTGACTCCAAAACAAACTAAATCTACGCACACAAACAATAATTTTCGGGACTTTCAGGCCAAATGTTTTTTACAAATGTATAGTTTTGATAGGATTTGGCCATTATTGGTTTTGTTACAATCGTCAACCTTTTTCTAGCAAAACGATTATCATGCTACCTTGACTATCACGTTTGAACCTATTTCAAATATGAAATATATATATCGAGATTTCACGATTAGAAATAAAAACGTGTTGTGCGTCATACTAGTGTATGTATATTACTAATGCACGTTTTTCAAATTGAATTTGGGTTTGATAAAATCAAAATCTGTTATCTGAAATGGTTACCGTATTCAATACATGATCAAGGCGTTTTTTCATTAAAACGCAATAGCACGGAATGGAAATTGATCATTATTTATATAAATACTGACGTTTTTTATCAGCTGATTTCATGGATTATACATGACTATAATATATAAGTACTGAGTATAGATAAATCATGATCACATAATTGTGTCGCTGGATAAACACTTTACTCGTAATTGTGGTTTATATGCCGTAACTACCCAGTGACCACGATTTAGCAAATTTGCTTCATCGAGATTATTTAAGACATTTTGTTGTTTAAGTATAACATAGAGAGGACCAAATGTCACCAAACTATTGTTCTAGACACAATTGCATGTACACAACTGACCGTACACAAGGCACATAAAATGCGATGTGAAAACAAACGGTCGAGTAATCGGTCACGTGATGAGGACCGTAGAAAATAATGACGTAGGACTCAAACTATTATGATGAGTGACACGTGACATCATTAGCGATAGGATACAAGAGATAAATATTTGACATGGTTTCCTTGTCACCTTGTACCGTAAACTCTAATGTATATTTGACAAAACTGAAATTCAATAGATGGCGCCCTCTAGCGAATTCGACGCAATCAAGCGGCCATTTTTCACTTACGTGTGTATTTCTGATTTCAGTGTTCACATTTCGACATAGGCGGCGGCACCAAATTTTGCATGGGGGAGGGATCTGCTCACCATTATTTGCAATGGGTCAAGCATTTATGGGGGGAGAGGAGGGGCGCCCCCCCCCCGGTGCCCGGAAAATGTTTTATTAAAAAGGAAAATAGGTTTATAACATATTTGCGTATAAACATTTCGTAGAATACTTACTGTGTGGAAATAATGTGCCTGAAAAATACTAGTAGGTACATTCATCCGCGACAGTAAACTACATCTGAGTTAAAGCGGGTGAGTCGTTACCTACGAATGTGGCAGACGACTATAGCGAATCGTTGTTTACAAACAAGCGTCTACCCATGAGCCTGTGCGTTTTAGCGTGCGTTGTTATCGTCGCTTAGGACTCAATTACCGCGCGTGCGCAGGTGACGACCCCTACGCCTTAACAGTTACTGGCATGACGGCGAATTCATTCAGTCTCAAATGCGGTATCCTTTCTTGAGCCTGAACTTGAATGCCTGCAACATGCTTGAAA